GGAGTCCGGGGACGGGTGAGTGGATGCAGGCCGCGTGGCCTGCGCCTCCAGTGGGACATTGTTCAGCCACAAAAGAAGGAAACCCTGCCGTTTGCAAGAACGTGGGCGGACTCCAGGGACGTGTGCTCCGTGACCAGCCAGACACAGGACAGATGTTGTGCGACCTCACTTACAAGGAGTCTAAACAAGCTGAACCCGTAGAGCCAGAGAGCAGGGTGGTGGTCTCCAGGGGCTGAGGGTGGGCCATGGGGCGGTGCCGGCCGAGGGAGCAGACTCCCGGGTGTACGATGATGTGCTGGCTGTGATGTGCCCACGGTGACTGCAGCTTGCAACGCTGTGTTGTGTGCGTGACATTGTTCCCGCTGAAGTGTTCTCACCACACACACACACGCACGCACACACACACACACATGCACACACACACACATGCACACACGCACACTCACATGCACACACACACGTGCGCACACATGGCCATGCTGATGGACGGGGTGATGGATGTGTGAGCTCCACTCTGGTCTCAATGTGCAGGGGTTTACGTATATTAAATCACTATGTCCTGCCCCGGCTGGTTTGGCTCAGTGGTTAGAGCGTCGGCCCTCAGACCAATGAGTAGCGGGTTCGATTCCCGTCAAGGGTGCGTACCTCAGTTGCGATTTGTCCCTGGCCCTGGATGGGGTCGTGTAGGAGGCAGCCACTCGATGTGTCCCTTTCATGTCGATGTTTCTCTCTCTCTCTCCCTCCCTCTCACTCTGTCTGAACAAAGATGGAAAAATGTCTTCGGGTGAGGATAAAAAAAAAATCACTATATTGTACACTTAAAAAAAAATCACACACAGGGAGGTGGGGGCGGGGGATGAGGGGGTGGGGGTGGGGAGGGAAGAGGTAAAGCAAGGGACTGATGTGCAGACATGCAGAACAATGGACACAGACAACAGTGCGGGGAAGGCCGGCGGGGGGGCGGGAGTGTGGAGGGGGAGGCAAAGGGGGAAGAAGGAGGGGCATCTGTAATAAAGAAAAAAAAGAATAAATGAAGTATTGGGAAAAAAAATCACATCCTACAACCTAACCAAAAGAACAAAAGGGAGGGAGGCCCTTCCTACAGAGGAGGCCGTGGTTTTCTGGAACCGGGATTGGACGCCGACCACCCTGGCGACAGTCCCATCCGTTCACGCCCTTTTCCTAAGTCACCCATTTCCAAACATCCGTCCCTCACTACCCAGAATCTCCGAACGTCCTGGCATGGCCTGTCCTGTAAACCTCGGGGTTCCCCCGGGGCCGTGGTGGATGCAGGGGGCACCCAGGCTCCATGCCCTCCTGTTCCCTGAGGACTTGGGGTCCAGCCACATGAAGCTGAGGGCTCTCTGCCATCCGAGCCCCTGGCCTGGGTGAGTCCCAGGGGTCAGCCGCGTGCAAATGCCTAGGACCACATCCAACTGCGTGGGCGTGGACGCGGGGTATGTTTCCATAAACACACGCGCATCAACACATTCCTCTGGGTCTGAGTCAGCACCCCCCCCCCCCTTCCCGTGCTCGGCCCCAAACCGGCTCCCTCTGTCCCTGGGTGTTTACTGGCATAGAGTCAGCGCCTGCCGTCCCTCTGCCCACCCCGCGCAGGTGGGGACGACCCATGTTAGGGTGGTGTGAGGTGGGGCAGGTGGCAAATCAGTGTGCTGAGCGGAGCTCCCTCGGGAGCGCGGGTGGGAGGAGAAGCCGCCGGGTGAGCCCATGGTGCGGGCTCTTCAGGACCTGGGTCTGCCTTGGCTCCTGGAACCTTCTTGACGTCTCGTTTCCCACGGACAGACCGGTGTGCAGCCTCCTGTGAGCTGGGCCGGGCTCCCACTCGGCGCCCGCCAGGGTCTCTGAGTGGGTGTCTCAACTGTGAAGCTGTGAACGAACAGACTCAGCGGATTGCAGAAGTCCATTGTTTTTTCCCAAATCAATCTCAGCCTCTGATCTACCAAAAAAAAAAAAAAGAATTTCTTTCATTCTTTAGGCATAGAAAGCCCTTGACTTGCAGTCCAGATCTCAAAGCCAGAACCTGGGGATTTGCATTGTCCTTCTGTGGACCAGGATTCAGTGTTGTCGGAAGCAGCCCCTGTCCAGGCTCCCGTGGTTCGTGGGTGCCGATGGCAGTGGCTGTGTGGCCGCCCCTCAGCTGTCCTCGGTTGACCCATGGGTCCTGCTGACCATCTGGAGTTTGAATAAAAATTCCTCTGCCTTCCATCCAGGCTCAATTTTGTAGAGCCCAAAGCTTATCAGCAAGGGGGCGGGATGCTCCTTAAGAAAAAGAATACAGCCTGGCCAGTGTGGCTCAGTGGACTGAGTGTCCTCCCGTGGACTGAGAGGTCCCAGTTACATTCCCTGGTCAGGGCACATGCCCGGGCTGCGGGCTTGATCCCCAGTAGAGGGCGTGCAGGGGGCAGCCGATGGATATTTCTCGCACATGGATATTTCTCTCTCCCTTCCTCTCTCTCCAAAAAAAAAAAAAAAAAAATCAATAAAAATGCAGTTTTCAAAAAAAGAAAAAGAATACGAAATTATAACAAAGTCAGATATAATAATGCATATTTATTAGAATGGGAAACGTCACCACAGCATACCACGGATATTTAAGAGCTGACAAATACCACAAATAGTACGAAATACCCAAAACTGTCATTTTCTCTCTCTCCCCTTCTTGGCTGCGCACCCCTAGACTGCCTAATCACACGTCTGCATTGGGGCTCGTTTCCACGGAGGACGGGAAGGTCATGCAGCACGGCTAGCGACAGGTGCCGCCCCACTGACGGTCTCGCCGCGTGTCCCCCTTTGCCACGGGTTCTTGGTGAGCCCTCCTGAGGGTTATCACATCTGGGGAGACGCTCTCAGCGTTTCCGGGACGCACGGTGAGGTGTCACGGCAGGTCAGGTCTCCTGTATGGGTTTGATCTGAAGGCGTCTGAGTGGGTGATGCCCACGAACTATTCTGTGGCCAGTGTCCCTGCTGGAGTGATGACTTGGGGAGCCAAGCTGTCTCCACTGGGCACGTCAGCACGAGAGGGGAATATTCCCCTGTGTGTCTGTATGGGGCCTCCCTGCTCATTGACCTTATTACGAACAGTCCGAGAGCCTACTGACACCCTCTATTCCCAATGACCTCTCCCTTTAAAATTCTTTTCTTTTTAAAATCCTCACCCAAAGATATTTTCCCATTTATCTTCAGGCAGAATGGGAGGGAGGGGAGAGAGAGAGAGAGAAACATCGACGTGAGAGGGACACATCGACTGGCTGCCTCCCGCACGACCCCAACCAGGGCCGGGGACGAACCACAACCGATGTACGTGCCCTTGACTGGAATCGAACCCATGCCTCATTGGTCCGAGGGCCGGCACTCTAACTGCTGAGCCAAACCGGCCAGGGCTTCATTTTTTTATTTTTAAATTACAGTTGACATTCAATATTGGTTTATATTAGTTTCACATGTACAACATAAGGATCAGACATTTCTGTAACTTACAAAGTGATCACCCCGAAGAGTCTAGTCCCCACCTGGTGCCACACGTAGTTATTACAGTATCGTTGACTCTGCTCCCGGCGCTAGGCTGTATGTCTCCGGGACTGTTTTGTAATGGGCCATTTGTACCTCTTCGTGCCTTTACCGTCATCACCCAGGCCCCCAAACTCCCTCCCATCTGGCAGCTAGCAGCGTGTTCTGTGTCCTAGAGCCTATTTCTGTTTTGTTTGTTTTGCTCTTTAATTGTACTTTTGTATCCTCATCCAAGGATATGTTTATTGATTTTTAGAGAGAGAGCAAGGGAGGGAGAGAGAGAGAAACATCAATGTGAGAGAAAAACATCCACTGGTTGCCTCCTGTACACACCCCGACTTGGGATCAAACCCTCAACCTGGTAGGTGCTCTGACTGGGAATCAAACCCACAACCTTTCTCTTCAGTATAGGGGACAACACTCCAACCAACTGAGCCACCTGGCCAGGGCTGTTATGCTCTTTAGATTTGGACAATCGGATAAAGAAGCTGGGGTACGTCTATACAATGGAATATCACTCAGCCATAGAAAGAATGAAATCGTACCACTCCCAACAACGTGGGTGAACCCAGAGGGTATCCTGCCAAGTAAAAACCAGACCGGGAAAGACAAATGCCATGTGATTTCACATAGTGAAGTACTTCCGGTGACCATTCAGCTTTCGGTTTCAAACCAACATCCACGCGCTTCACCATTGACCTTCCCCCTTTTCTCTCGTAGTCCTTTAATCCTCACCGGAACTTCCTCTTACCTCTTTCGCCCAAAAACGAGATTGAGACCACAAAAGACGGATGGATCCCTGCCTATCCTTCGAAGAGTTTACAATTTCTCACCAGGTTTTCGAAATGTGCCAACATGTCTTTCCAAATCGGAATCATCTTTGGTTTGCCATGTGTGCTTCTCTTCCGAGCCCAGTCTTCAAGAATGCTTTTTAGCATCGTGACGATGCCACTGCACCCACCACGCAAGGCTGGCCGAGCCTTGTGACGCAGCCCTTGTCCCGCGCTCAGTGCTTCTGCAGGACAGCCAGGCCGCCGGGTGTGCCAGCCCTCCGCGTACAAGGGCAACTCAGAGAAGACCACCCCCGCGAAGACACTGATGTCACGGACCTCCGCGAGGCCCGGCTCCTTCTCCGACGGCCCCTCTTCATGCAGTGCCACGTATCCAATGACGGAAAACCTCCCGCAGACTGGCGTCCGGCTCTGAATTGTCTCCTTCCCACCCGCGCCCTCCGTGTTCTGGGCTGGAAGCGAACCTTTGTCCTCTAACCGGAACGTCCCCCACAACAAAGAAGTTGTATGTCATCTTCCAGCTGAGCGGCACTGAGAGATTTGGGACATGCATGCTGTGGGGGAGCTTTGGATTGTAGGGGAGGGACCCCAGCAGGGGGAGATGCCAAGTCCCTGGGGTTCCCAACAGCAGGCCAGCCCGGCGCTGGGCTGGGGCAGGCATGCCGGGCTCCCCGAGGCGGCTCACACCCCCACCTCATTGGTGTAGACGGAGGGGGTCTCCCTCCCCTCCAGCTCGGGCGTGTCCCGCAGCGCCCTGCGCAGCACGGCCCCCAGGGGCTCCCTGCCGCCCCGGCCCCTGCGGCTGCCCACCAGGAAGTAGATGACCGGGTTGGCGCCGCTGCTCACGGTGGAGGACAAGCGCGACAGGCCGCTGTACAGGAGCACCACCTGCTCCTGCAGGTGTAGCCAGTACAGCAGAAACCAGTAGATGCCCAGCGGCAGGGCGCAGACCAGGAACACCAGCACCGAGGCCAGGATGACCACGTACAGCCGCGTGGGCCGCCGCCCCCACCGCTGGGACGCTCTCCGCACCTGCACAGACAGGGTCACGCTGGACACCGTCATCACCGGGGTGAAGATGCCCATGATGAGGGCGCTGAAGGTCAGGTCCACCACGTAGCACTGGTGTCTGTTCATTTGCCTGAACTTGCTGCAGAAGAAGGCGGCCAGCACGTTCATCAGCAGGGACAGCGCCCAGAGCCCGGCGCACAGCCAGGACGACAGGCGCTGGGTGTGGTGCCGCTTGTACCAGATGGGGAAGAGCACGGACACGCAGCGCAGCGTGCTGATGGCCGTCAGCAGGCTCAGGCCCACGGTGTAGGCGAAGTACTTCAGTCGCCGCAGCACCTCGTACGCCCTGTCGTAGGTGGTCTGCGTGCCGGTCTCCGGGTGGGTCTCCGGGTGGGTCTCCAGGCTGAGCAGGGCGGCCATGCAGAGCAGGAAGAGGAGGTCGGCCGCGGCCAGGTGCAGGACGTAGGTGGTGCACGGGGTCCTCTTCACGCGGAAGCTCAGCAGCCACATCACCAGGCCGTTGCCCAGGATCCCGCAGGTGCAGGTGAACATGGCCAGGCCGCTCAGCACGAAGTAGGCCACCTCTAGCGCGCCCGTGCTGGGGCCGCTTGGGGCCCACGTCGGGGCCTGGCTGTCATTCGGAGTCTGGCTCATCCTATAGAAGAAGACGGACCAGCATGAGATTCTGTGCTACGGGGCCCCAGGGGCTTCTGGGAGCCCCACCCCGAGTGTCCTGCCTGCCCGCAGGCTCCCACCTCCCGAGTCTGCGCCAGGCCCACCGGTAGGCGCCCTGGGCTGTTCCCGAAGCCTTCGCTCCGTCACCAGGCTCTCTTCTTATTGTGAGTTTATTTTTTCTATCATGAAGAGGCATCAATTGACTTTCACCAAAGGCTTTTTTTTTACATCTATCGATAGTATCATTTTCTCTGTAATCTTCAAGTCCTGTAAATTAATTTTTTCGAAGCGGACCTCAGGGGTAAAGAGTAGAATTAGTTACCCCTTCCCTCACTTTCTGGCAGGCTTATCAGGCTATTTAAAGACACAAGATCACTTCCCTCTCCTCCGTCATCTCTATCCCAGCCACCCCCCTTCTGCCCAGCGTTTGCCTGGAAGCGTGTTTTGTTTTATTTTTGTTGATCCTCACCTGAGGATATAGTCCCATTGATTTTTAGATAGAGTGGAAGGGAGGGAGAGAGAAACATTGACTGAGAGCGAGACATTGGTTAGTTGTCTCCTGCAGGCTGGGGATGAACCTGCAACCCAGGTACGTGCCCTTGACCGGAAATCGAACCCAAGACCCTTTGGTCCACGGGCCAGCGATCCAACAACGGGGCCAAACCAGCCAGGGCTTGCCTGGAAGTGTTTTTAATGTACATAAGTGCTGTTGTGATTTAGAATTCTTAATTGGGTTTTATTTTCTAGTCAACAATATGTTTTTAGGATATTTACAGGTGACCATATAGAAACGTACTTTTTCATGGTTTGAAATTTTATCGCTCCAACCAACTGAGCCACCCAACCAGGGCTATAGTATTGTCTTTTATCAAGGTGAAAAAGTTCCCTTTCTGGTTTTCTGACCGTTTTGATCATAAATGAATGATAACATTTATCGCAATTTTTTTCTGCATCCACTTAATCATTTTCTTTCTTTTTTTCCCCCCCTCCCTTAATCTAGACAGTGATAGGTGTGTTCTGTTTTCCCCCTGCCTGGGTGCTCTGATTTATTATATTTTTAGCAAAATTTCCCCCATGTTTGTAAGTGAATTGGCCCATAATTTTGCCTTCTGGTGCTATCTTTGTCTGTTTTTTACTTCCAAGCTGGCTTCCGAAAATGACTTGGCAAGATTGCTCAGTGTCCGTACCCTCCGGAACAGTTGGCTGCATGGAAGCATTGTCCCTCTTTGGAGGTTTGGCAGAGGGCAGGGCCATCTGGTCCGGGCATGCTCAGGCAGCAGTGGGCACGCCCGGCTCGGAAACCCTCCAGCTCCAGTTCGGTTACTGTTTCAGGTCAGTTCGGATTGTCGATCTCTTCTTGAGTTAGATAGGTAATAGTATTTTTTCTAGAAAGTGGCTCATGGTTTCTGATTTCATGTTTAGTCGTATAATACTTTTATTTTTATTATTATTTTTAAAAAAATATTTAAAAACTGTTGTTTCTTTATTCAATTTAGAGAGAGAAGAAGGGAGAGGGAGAGAGAGAGAAACATCGATGAGAGAGAACATCGACTGGCCCCCTCCTGCATGCCCCCCCACCCCCACCCCCGCACTGGGGATGAGGCCCACAACCTAGACATGTGCCCTGATCGGGAATCAAACCAGCGACCTCCAGGTTCATGGGTTAATGCTCAACCACTGAGCCACACCAGCTGGGCTAATAGTTTTATTTTATTTTAGTTTAGTTTACTTTACTTTATTTTATAATCCTCGTCCAAGGATATTTTTGCATTTATCTTCAGATAGAGGGGGAGGGAGAGAGGGAGGAAGAGGGAGAGAGAAACATCAACGTGAGAGAGACACATCGATTGGTTGCCACCCACATGACCCCAACCAGGGCCGGGGATAAACTGCAACCGAGGTACGTGCCCTTAGTGGGAACCGAACCCAGGACTCTGGTCCGTGGGCCAATGCTCTAACCGCTGAGCCAAGCCGGCCAGGACAATACTTTTATTTTTAAAAGCTTTATTCTATCTGTCATTTTCTATGTGTGCTTTTTGTGTGTGTGTTGTTTTTTGTTTTCCTTTATCAGTTTGCTAGAAGTTTGTGTTTTGAGAACTGTTTTTTTAAAAATTGTCTCTGTTGTTTCTTCGCTGCCAACCTCCATAGGTGCCCTGTGGCAACAGTCTCTTCTTTAGGTTCAACACAAAGCTAAATGCGACTTATCAAACTTACTCTATGTGTCAGATACATAGTGCTATAGATACACAGAACATGCATACACGTGTATGACCACAGTGCACAAACACGTGTACGTACACAACATACAAAGCATGTATATGTGTACACACACACAGCACATGCACAGCAATGATCACGATGGACCACCCTCAGAACTCACAGTCCTGGGGGGAACACGCAGTTAGACTCAGTTACCTGTGGTCACCAGGCAGGAAACTAACAAGGTGGGGACTCAGAGGGTGGGCGGAGCTGGGAGGCCCCAGGAGGGAGGGCAGCTGGGCTGAGAGAGGCTCTTCCTGGCTGGGACCCGTGCCCCCTGACCCCTCCCTAGAGGGTGGGTCCCCTCCTCCAATGCCACAGGGCTCGGTGATCACGGTCCACTCAAAGGCCATACTAAGGAGTGTTTGGGCAGCTCTCTCAGGAGGCAGGATGTGGGCTGAGTGGACAGGGCGGGGTGCTCACTGCTGTCCCAGGTCCTTGTGACATGGGGCCCTCAGGCCAACGTGACCCCGTGCCATGCCTGCTTTGGGTCAGGGGTCCCCCGGGGCCTGGACAGGGGCCCTCGGGCACCTGGGCCTCTTCCTAGTGGTCACCAGATGTCCACTCGCAAGCGCTGACTGAGGGCAGACGGGGCTAGTGCCCTTCCAGTCCCAGCAGAGGGACGAGCAGACAGACACTGCCGCCTCCCTGGAGATGGCGCTCTGCGGGGTGGTGGTCAGGCAGCGCGAAGAACAGCTTCCAACGGGATAGCTTCCTGGGGGGCTATGGAGGAGCCATTCCGCGAAACCCATGACAGCCGGACACAGGGCTAGAGAGCCAAGGGGCGGGAGGGGCTGGCATTTTAGGCGGGGGGCTCCAGAAGATCCCCAAGGGGCCCCCACAGCAGAGACCCCGAAACGCACCGGGGAGTCGGGGAGCGTGGCAGCCTCCTGACGGTGCTTGTGACGGGGGCAGAGGAACGGGGTCCGAGCACAGGCTTGCTGTTTGTTTTGTTTCCGCATCACCGAGCCTTCGGATGGCGACGGGAAGGACTCAGCAGAGAGGGGGAAGCTGAGGACGTCAGAAAGAGGCCACAGCTGCAGGAGGGGCTCCCGGGGGTGGTGAGAGGCGAGGGGACCGGACTGGGCAGAGGGGGGCCCAGCTGGGAGCTGGGGCGTCACGGGGAGACGTGGAGGATTCGGTCACGGTGGTGGGACGCGAGGTGGGGAATGACGCTGCCCCTTCTAGACATCCTGTTTTTCAGCAAAAGTAGAAGGGGGGTCAAATATTGGGATTGAGGAAAGAGAAGAGGGGTTTGGGAGGGTTGAAGACAGAGGAGCCTTATCCTGACTGCTGTGGACTGAATTGTGTCCTCCTCAGAGAAGCGCCACCACTCCAAGGCAACTGTGTTTGGAGAGGAGGCCTCGAGGAGGCAGTGAAGGTTAAATGAGGTCATAAGGGTGGGGCCCTGCTCTGGGATGATTAGTGTTATCTTCCGAAGAGACACCAGGGGGCGCTCCCTGCCTCCCGCTCCGTCCCATCCCTGATAGGACAGTGAGAAGGTCCCCATCTGAAGCCAAGGAGAGAGCTCTCACGGTGGACCCAGTGGCCTGCACCCTGATCTCAGACTTCCAGCCTCCAGAACCGTGAGAAATAAACGCGTTTTTAAGCCACGTGCCTGCTGCCTGCTGTCCCGGCAGCCTGAGTGACAAATGCGCAACCCAGAGGAACTCACACCTGCGACTAACGAGCAAACACCGTCTGCGCGCCTGGCGTCTCCGCCGTCACGTGACCTGTAGGATGGTGGGAGCATGCATGTCTCGGTCACGTCGGAAGCAGGTCCTGGTACACGGCAGGCGCTCAGTACATGTGGGGGGCCCCGGCGCCCCGGCCCTCCTTGCCTGCACGGTTTCGCCAGCTCATTCGACGGCCTGCATTGGACCTCACCTGGGCCGGCATCTGACTGCCCTGCCTGTGCGTTCTGCGTCCCTGGCACTGTACCTGACATAGCCAACGCTCAGCCACGACCTGCTGATGGATGACAGCCTAAAAGGCAGACTCTGTCCAGTTAGCTTTAGACTAAATTCCTGTCCTCGAAAGTCTTGTCTGAATTTTTTTCTAATCCTCCCCTGAGAACACTTCTCCATTGATTTTCAGATAGAGCGGGAGGGAGGGAGGGAGAGAGACAGAGAAACATAGACGTGTGAGAGACACATCGGCTGGTTGCCTCCCACACGATCTCCACCAGGGCCAGGGACCGAACTGCAACCGAGGCACGTGCCCTTGACTGGAATCAAACCCGCGACGCTTCGGTCTGTGGGCCGATGCTCCAACCCCTGGGCCAAACCGGCCAGGGCTTCTCCGAATTTTTGTCTCTTCCCTTGAAGACTTAGGGAAGCCTGTGATTTCCCTCCACTGTTAGCGCACTATCCATTTCTCTTGGTACTCGAGAGCTTTTAAAAACCGCATGGATGAAACACTGGTCTTGTTTTGAAAGGTTCGAATGGTAAACAAGAAATGCGTCTTGCCCCTGCCCTCACGGTTAGCGGTGTGATTAGGTCCTTGAAGGTGTTTTCTGTGCATGTATATATAAATACTTATTTTCATAAATAAAAATGTATTGCCTGCTTGTTTCGCAGCTGCGTTTTCAAAACCTAGTTGCATGTCTTCTCCTTTAGTGGTGGCCCCGTCCCTGCCTGTCTCACCTTTGTCCTGGCTCTGCACTGCGGGGGGGGGGGGGGGGGAGGGAGGGGGCTCTCCAGGTGGCAGCACCGCAGGTG